GAAACGAGCCTTAGCTTACAGCAGGGATGAACTTGGTTTAGGTGTCCATGCACACGGGAGCAGATCCAGCCCCCTGGGCTGCTCCAGGTTAACCCAGCCTCTTGCCTTTTGGAAGGCACAAAAGGGGACAATGCACCCAGCTTGCATCGAGTGGGAGCTTGTGCTTGCCCTCAGCAGGAATCAAACCTCTCCTGGGGTGCCCTGTGGAGTTTGACTTGACAGCATCCCTGCTTTGCCTTGTGCAACTGCCTGGGCTTCACTTGGGTACCACAGCTGGTTGCTTGGTTGTCGAATGCTGCTGAGCATCACTTTAACAGGAGCGGAGGCTGGATGCAGAGCCCTGAATGTGATGTGGGGACATGGGAGTAGGGACATAGCGTGATGCATGCTGTGTCCTCCAAAGCATGTCCTGGTGCCTGGAGAAGGCCCTGACTCATCTTGAGGAACATTTTAGCATAAGACATGCTGAGCACAGGAGAAACACCTTTGTCAGGACAGTGCCTGTTAGGCAGGATCTGAGTAATGCAGTTTATCTGCAGCGCTGCAGCAGCTGGTCCTGCTGCGGGGCATTAACACTGGGCTCTGGTGCTAGGGGAGAGGCAGAGGGGCCGGTGTGGGAGGTAGGGGTGGCTTTGTGTGGGGATTACAGCTGCTTCTGTGGCTGTTGAGGCAGAGCAGGCTGCTGGGGAGATGCGATAGTGGGCAAGGAAGGACCCGGAGAGATGGTGGGGATGGGGAGCTTAATCCTGGAATGGGTTGGGTTGGAAGGGAGCTTCAAGCTCATCCAGCTCCAACCCCAACCCCTTCCACTGGAGCAGCTTGCTCCAAGCCCCTGTGTCCAACCTGGCCTTGAGCACTGCCAGGGATGGGGCAGCCACAGCTTCTCTGGGCACCCTGTGCCAGCGCCTCAGCACCCTCCCAGGGAAGAGCTTCTGCCTAAGAGCTCATCTCAGTCCCCTGTCTTTCAGTTTAAAACCATCCCCTATTTCCCTTGTCCCAAGCCCCTCTGTGTGCAGTGGAAGAAGCTGTGGGATGATCTCTTGATGATGAGAGTTTGTGCTGTACAAAAGGGGATCTCAAGGCAGTTTTAGCCTGCAAGGAAGGAGAAATGAAGCTGCCACAACACCTGCAGTGCCTGTAGGGGTGATGGGGACCACTGTGATCTGGTGCTTAGCAGTGCTTGAACAGGAGACAGAAGGCGGTTGGGTACCCCTGATGTTTGAATCCCTGTGTCAAGGAGGCTGCCGTGCTCCCACATGAGCCCATAGAGGCTTGTTAATGCATTTCCATATGATTTGATTGTAATCCTCATGGAGCAGCTTTGGGAATCTGGCAGCATGGAGCTCGAGGAGGAGCAGGGCTCGCTACAACAGCAGGACTGAACTGTCTGCTTCCAACTGGGAAGCGAGCAGGAGCGGGATGGGAGAGCGGTGGGATTGGATGTGCTGTGCTTGGGGGTGGCAGGAACGAAACCAAACTGAACGACACCAACACTCCAAAGCTCCCCATGCCCACAGCTAGCTTGGGCAGCTGACGGCTCCGGGGTTTGTGCCTTTGGGAGCCTTGTTACTTTCCCAAATTCCCTACAGAGGGCTTTGTGTTGCTTTTAGGCTTAGGAGAATGTGATCCTTGATCCTGGAATCATTGAATCATAGAACAGTTAGGGTGGGAAAGGACCTTAAGTTCATCCGGTTCCAACCCCCCTGCCATGGGCAGGGACACCTCACACTAAACCATGGCACCCAAGGCCTCCTCCAACCTGGCCTTGAACACTGCCAGGGATGGAGCATTCACAACCTCCCTGGGCAACCCATTCCAGTGCCTCAGCACCCTCACAGGAAAGAATTTCCTCCTTAGATCCAATCTAAACTTCCCCTGTTTCAGTTTGAACCCGTTACCCCTTGTCCTGTCACTCCAGTCCCTAATGAAGAGTCCCTCCCCAGCATCCCTATAGGCCCCCTTCAGACACTGGAAGCTGCTCTGAGGTCTCCCCGCAGCCTTCTCTTCTCCAGGCTGAACAGCCCCAACTTTCTCAGCCTGTCTTCATACAGGAGGTGCTCCAGCCCCTGAGCATCCTCGTGGCCTCCTCTGGCCTTGTCCCAACAGTTCCATGTCCTTTTTATGTTGAGGACCCCAGAACTGCACACAATGCTCCAGGTGAGGTCTCACAAGAGCAGAGCAGAGGGGCAGGATCACCTCCTTGGACCTGCTGGTCACGCTGCTTTGGATGCAGCCCAGGATACGGTTGGTTTCTGGGCTGCAAACTCACCCTCACTTTCGTCACAGGGCAGAGCCGGATGCCTTCGCTGTGGACCGCATCCTCCCTGTGCATTGCTGGGATGCTAAAGATCCCCGGAGCTTTGCCAAGGCTGCTTGCAATGATCCAAGTTCTTGTCCTGGAGAGCCGATATCGGCAGTTCCAAGGCTGCGGTGACAGCAGCTCTGTACCTGTCTGTCGGGTTGAAGTATGATGTACTCTGGCTTAAAGAACAACACAGAATGTCCCCTTCCTTCACGTTCCTGGCTTATTCTTCAGCCCAGCTTGGCTGCAGAGCAATCAAAGAGCGAGCAGGGATGATGAGGGCCAGCAATTTATTAAGGCAGTGCTGGTGCTGAGGGTTTTATAGTGAAACTCACGGTGCGGTGTCAGCGGAGGTGATGTCCTGATGGAGAGGCAATAAAGCAAGCTGGGTTAAGCGTGCAGTAATAGGCATGTATCCGAGGCAGCCGCTATGATAACCCAGCTGATGGATGTCTCTGCTCTCCTAGGTCCCTCTTAAGGTGTAGGATTTATCGCTGACACCTCTGTGCCGTTGCCCTGGGCACTCAAACCCCAAATCTTTCGTTCTCCCCAGGTTGGGATGCTCCCGAGTTGATGTTCGTGCTGCGGAGGATGTAGGTGGGGACCGGGTTCACTGGGGCTTAGCGAGCATCCCACCTCTCCTGTGATGCACTCAAATGGATGCCTTGTGTAGCTTTGGTGCTGGTGAGGAGTTATTACTGTGAGGGCTCTGCCCCCTTCTCCCATTGCGTGCAATGAGAGGGCAGTGCCCTTCGTTGAGGGGTGTGAAGTCCTGAGGGAGCGCTAAGGAAACAGGTCAACACGAAGCAAAGCCCACATTGGGGTGTAAGTTGTGTCCCTGCCATAGAGGAGTGCGGAATGAAGAGCTGCTCCTGGCTGGGGTGTGCTCCATGGATAGGGCTGTGCTCTAAATACAGGCTGGCCTTTGATAAGCAGCAGCTCTCGTGGAGCTGAGTTAGATACGCACATCTGAGCATCGCAAGCAGAAAGCCTGAGCTGCACCAGTTTAATAGCTTGGATACATCAATTGGCAGCATCCAGGCTGGAATGTACTGGGAAGCACTGGGAATAAAGCCCCTACTGATTGTATTTTCATCAGTTAAGCAGTTGCTTATGGTTTTCCTGACGTTCCTGCTCCTGTCTGCTCCAGGTTCCAGGAACGTCTGCCCACCGGGATGGCGCTGGCTCTGCTGACAATGGCTCACGCTGGAGGGGAAGACCTTGGAAGGATAAAATGGTTTTGGCTAAATACTATATTTGGCACCAGCTTTTCATCTAAACCTGAGCCACTTTGCACCTGTCTGGAGAGATAAAGGGACTTAAAATGAGCGTGAGTGTGGTTTTGATGCCTGAACAGTACACAAAGCCCTCAGGAGAAATGAATCCCGGGGCTTCAAAGCCTTTGCTGGATGTTTTTCTACCACCTAGAGCACTGTCAGGCTATTTTATTTTCAAGGTACGGTGATTTCACCGAGCAGACCGTTTGAAGGCTGCTCTACTTGCTTTAAGGAGGAATGGACAGATGGGTATGTGCTGCTATTCCCTGCTGGATGAGCTGAACTGTTTTCTGGGACACGCGTTTCTGCCCACAGGAGGCTCTTTTTGCTGCTTTTCTGGTCTTGTGCAATAGCAGCATCTAAAATATGACCTGGAGGATTGAGTTCAGCCTTGGGCAGCTCTAGATGTGGAGCTGTTGAGTGAGGCCAGAGGAGGCCACGGAGATGCTGCAAGGGCTGGAGCAGCTCTGCTCTGGAGCCAGGCTGAGAGAGCTGGGCTGGGGCAGCCTGGGGAAGAGAAGGCTCCTGAAGGGGAGACCTGAGAGCAGCTCCAGTGCCTGAAGGGGCTGAAGGAAACGTGGAGAGGGACAAGGGGACTGTAGGGGCAGGCCAAGGGGAATGGCTTGAACCTGCCAGAGGGGAGACTGAGCTGAGCTCTGAGGCAGAAGCTCTTCCCTGTGAGGGTGCTGAGGCGCTGGCACAGGGTGCCCAGAGAAGCTGTGGCTGCCCCATCCCTGGCAGCGCTCAAGGCCAGGTTGGACACAGGGGCTTGGAGCAAGCTGCTCCAGTGGAAGGGGTTGGGGTTGGAGGTGGATGAGCTTTAAGGTCCCTTCCAACCCAACCCATTCCATAACGTTCTTGGCTGATACTTTGGTACTTGCTGAGTCCTTGCTGTGTCCAACCCAGGCCACCGCTGTCCTTCCACCACTGCAATGCCACGAGTGAGGGAAGGCTGTTAAGATGTGTCCATCCTAATGAGGATTTGCTTGGTAAGTGAACATGCGAGTCTGGGAGGGTCCATGAAGAAGCTTCCACGGTGTTCTAATCGGGGAAGGGATGCTGGGAGAGCCAGGTGTGTTTGGCTTCTGTCCATCAGTGATGTGTTGGGGGCACGAAGCTGCTTCATGCTTGGAGTGGGGTTAAGTGGAGCTCTGGCTGTGGGGCTGGGCTGGCAGTGGGGAGGGAGCCGGCGCCCTCAAGGGGGTTGTGGCCCTGGTGCGCAGCAGGATGCTGCCGGTGTGGGGGCCCCGGGGGCCAGCGGCAGGACCAGGGCTCGATCCCCGTTACCGGCAGCCGCTCCCCGCATCCCGCCCGCACCGCCGCCGCAGGCCCGCCAGGGGGCGCCGCCGCCCCCCTTACCCACGCGCGCTTTCTTCTCCCACCTCCCCAGCCGTCGCCATGGTGACCGCTGGGTGCGTAGCGGTCCTTACGAAGCTGACGCAGTGGGCGGCCCGGCACGGGCGGGGGCGGCCCCTGCACGGGCGGAGGCGGTGTTAGAGAATCGGGGGGCCGCCAGGCCCCCGGCATGGAGGCGGCGGCGGCCTTGGGCCTACGTCGCGGGCGGCGGCGGCGGCGGCGGCTGAGGTGAGGCGAGGCGGGATGGCGGCGGCGGGAGGGCAGGGCCCCGCGGGCCGTGAGGCAATGAGGCTGCCGCGGCAGGTGCCGAGGGGCGGGGGTGCGGGCTGGGGGTGCCCCGCTTCACGCAGCCCCGGCGGGGGGAGCCTGCGGGCTGAGGCGAGCGGGAGCCGCAGGCTTCCCCCGCCGGGGCTGCGTTGGCCTGCGCCCGGTGGACGAGGCGGTTTCCCTCCCCGGAACGGAGGCCCGAGCCCCCGGCCCGAGGTGGGTTTGGCTGGCACGGGTGATGGGATGGGTGCTGCGGGCTGGCGGAGGGGTGGGTGTGACCCACGGAGTCGGTCAGTGCTCGGGGCGGCCCCGCGGGCTCCCGCAGTTAACGGGGGCTGAAGGTGCTCCAGTGATGCGGGTTAACCGCGCCCTGGGTGTAGGAGCCCTCGTTTAGGGTCGCAGTGAGCCGCATGCTTATGGAAGTAAAGGATACATCGCCCTGAGAGCGTGCAGCTGGGGTGTTGCCAGGCTGCTCAGCCCTGTGCCCGGTCTGGGCACCGCTACCTGCCGCTGTGCTTGGGACAGGCTTCAGTTGCCGCTTGGAATGGTGGTTGCTGAGTCTGCAGGTCCCAGTGGCTCTTAACAGCCCCAGCTCCAGGTGGGAAACAGCACCGTGATCGCCAGCGGTGCTCTGTACGGCTCCTGGGATGCTGGAGTGTTGCAGCGCTGTGTGCTGGAAGCAGCACATCTCGGTGGGGTGGGTTAAACGGCGTGTTAGAGGCAAGGTTCTGAGGGTAAGTATAACCTGGGCCAAGGTGGGAAAGGCTTGATTCTTGCCTGCCAGGGCAAAACTTTGTCCTGCCGGCTGTCCTTCCGCCCTGCTGTGTTCTGGATGGACGGGGGAATGGTGGTTGCTGAGTCTGCAGGTCCCAATGGCTCTTACAGCCCCAGCTCCAGGTGGGAAACAGCACTGTGATCACCAGAGGTGCTCTGGACAGCTTCTGGGATGCTGGAGTGTTGCAGCGTCGTGTGCTGGAAGCAGCACATCTCGGTGGGGTGGGTTAAAAGGTTCTGAGGGTAAGTATAACCTGGGCCAAGGTGGGGAAGGCTTGATTCTTGCCTGCCAGGGTAAAACTTCGTGCTGCCGGCTGTCCTTCCGCCCTGCTGCGTTCTGGATGGACAGGGGGAAGAGGCTGCGCTTTGTGCGGTCAGGCAGAGTGTTTTTAACATAGTCGTGGTTGGGAGATAATGAAATTGCAGGAAGTGGCTTTTGGAAAGGCAAAGTCTTTAATGGCTTGGGTTTGTTACGTTGAAACATGTATCTCCAGTGGGCGGAAGTGGAGAGCTTCTCTAAATAGGCAACGTTATCAGGGTGAAGTTATTTGTTGGCCCAGGTGTTAGCTTTCTGTGTCATGAAAGTTACGTGGGGTTCTTAGAGGTGCTGCTGAAGTTACTGCTCAGCCCTCAATGTGTGTGTGAGGCTGCAGCGGACAGGCAGGCCAGGAACAGCTAATGGGGACGAGAAACTTGAGCAGCATCTGCTACGTGGTAAATAATGTATGTCGCCTGGAACTTCTGTAACTAAAGCTCCTCAGAAAGGAGTAGGAGAAACAGTCCTCTTTAAATCTGCATTTAAAGAAGAGATTTGGGAGTTACCATCTGGTTTACACAAATTTCACTCCTTCTATAACGTGCTAAGAGTCAAAATGACGTGAGGGTATGGATTATGTATAGATTTTGGTAGCACTGACCTGTAAAAACCAGATTTGATCCGAATTCCATTTTAACTTAAGGCACTGGGCTTAGGTCTTTTGCCTGCTAGCTGCAAAATCAGAAGTCACACAGAAACAGGGGTTGCTTTAAGCCCCTGACAGTTCAATTGCTGTTAGGATGTGGGTGCTGAGAAAGTCAGACTTCACTGTGCTGTGCCCCCTGTTCCTTTTCTAGAGCCCTAGAAAGGAGCAGTTGTGCAACAAGGTATGGTCTGAGTGGTTGACATTGAGAAACGTGCTGCTCCAGGGGGAAAAGTGGGAAGGATGAAAATCCTCCAATGCCAAAAAGTTGCATTAAAAAAAATAGAGAAATGGGGTAAAGCAAAATACCTTCCATTAAAAAGGAAAAAAGAATGTCGATATCAGCCTAGTCAGTAATGTTAAGACTTTCCTTCAGCAGCAGCTCTGTGTTTGTCTTCTACTAAACTCTGGCAGAGTTTAACTTCTCAGGGAACTGTCAAAATGGACAACATAGTTATGACCCAAAATATCTGCTTTGTATGGACGTGCTTTTGGACTTTGTATGGGAATAGAAATCACATTGCTTGTGCTGGGTCTGCCTCTGTTTGCTCTATGAAGAGACTTTTATGTACCCCTTAAACACTGTGTGCATCTAACTAGGAACTGGAGGCGTAAACTTGCAAACCCCTTGGTTGCCCTTTGGAAAATCCATTTGATTTCCATGTTTTTATCAGTCCCACCTGTCTGTGCTTCCCTTTTAAGGAAAAACAAGCCCCAAAAGGTTTGGCATTCCTGATGGATCTGAGTGCAGGAGCTGTAGATTGTCACTGTAACCCATGTGAAGTTCAAGTTGTGGCTCTATCTGTGAGGTGATCTTTAATCCTGGGGCCCTGAAGGTACAGATGTTTAAAGGTGCCAAGACTAAAACCAGGCAGATGGGTGTCTGCAGTGCAGCCTCTTCTTAGAAATTCATTAATTTTGAGTTAGCTCCTCAAAATAGGTCACTTTGATTTCTGAGCTGGGATATAATTGTATGCATTTGCAAAAAATAGATTGATCTGCTGCTTCCAAGGCTCTGTGACTTTGAAAACTCTCCTTAAAGCAACACAGATACCAGTCTTTTTGGGTTTGTGCATCGCTTCCAGGCAAGAACCCCCAAGCTGGAGGCTTGTAGGAAATACAGGCTTGGGACACTGCTCAGCTTTGGACAGCCAAGAGCCTGTGAGGCTTTGAGTTGTCATCTGCTCCATCCCTGGCAGTGTTAAAGGATGGGGCTTGGAGCAATGGGTTCTAGTGGAAGGTGTCCCTGCCAGTGGCAGGGAGTTGGAACTGGATGAGCTTTAAGGACCCTTCCAACCCAAAACCGTTCCATAATTCTATGATTTAGAGGCCTGCCTACAATTAAGCTTTCTTGCATTAAACAGCAGTCGTTCTGTTGTCTTCAGGCAGGGAAAGGATGTTTGAGAGCTCTTCCTTGGGCAGCAGAATATGTTTACCCTAGAGCAAGAGGCTTTTACTCTGGGGAGCCTGCTTCCACCCTGCTTTTCCTCTGAGAAAGCAGCATGCTCCCTTTCTCAGCTTGCCACCTAGGTAGCAGCAGCAAATAATACTGATTTAAAGCTAGCTGATTCTGACAGTGATCCAGCAGATGAATAAGTACATCCTGAGCCGGATTCAGCACTGGAGTTTGAGGAAGTTCCATTTAAAGAGACAGCTATTGAGATGTTTGGATGAGTGCAAACTCTTTTCAGCTGCTTTGAGAGCGCTTCAGGGCTGGAGTTTTGAGAGAGCTGGGGGAAAGGAATTTATGAAAGTGGCCTTTGTGCTATCAGGAGCGTGACAAATGGACTCTGGGGATCTGGGGTTAGCTTTAGGATGTTTGTTCCTACTGGAATAGATTCTTTGGAGTCAATCAGACTTTACTCGACGTTCATTTGTTCTGATACCTTCTTTATCTGCACTGTACTCACATGATACTGTTAATTTAAGTGTATATCTGCCAGAACAAACACACATGGCACATGGTTCACGGCGGTGGGAATCCTTGTGATGCTTCTACTTAGAACTACATTCCTTCCGTTTCAAGCCAACACTTCGTTTTGTATATTTCCGAAGAGAAATCAGAGGAAAAACATCTTGCAAATGTGGTGGGTGCATTATCTGTGCAGCTTTGAACTCCTGTGAGAGAAGAAACTGAAATGATCTCTCTGCTTTTGATAAGAAATGGAAAATTTTGCCTACTGAAACCCTAAAATTACTGTGTATTTTAAGAGCACGACTAGCTGGGAGCTGATAGTTACTCACAGGGCACAGAAATAAGACTCTAGAGTCTGCTCCCTTAGTGCAACCATGGTATGTTGATCCTGCTCACTAGATCTCCCTCTGCTTTCCAATAATGCAATCTATTTCTTGTCCCCTACAGCAGCAATCACTCTACTTATAATTCTACCGTGCTAGATGCTAAGGCTCTTAGTCTGCTTGCTTGGGTGCATGAGTTTAAGTCGTGGTACTTGGCGTGTTGATCCTGAGTTCATTATCAAACTGTAAGAACATACCCAACTGATCTGTTAAAGTCTAAAATACTGTGGAATATGAACTCTGAAGCATCACAACAAGCTTTAACAAATGATAATGTGAAAAGGGCTGGGTTTATTAGAAAGCAACATAAAGGGGAATATTCTACTATAAAATGCTTCCAAAATTTGGGGTTTCAGTGCTGTAGCTTGGTGATGATTTCATATACAAAATAGAATTCCTGCTGAGCTTGGGGAAGAACGTGCTCTCTGTCTTCAGTCCTTTCTTATTTCTGTTCTTTTCCTTCCTCCTTTTTACCCTTTTTTCTCCTCCCAGTGAAAGGGCTGTGGGTCCCTTACCTCATACACTGGATTTCTTTGAAAAGGTGTCAAGCTAAAAGATGGAATAAAAAGGTTGTTGATTATTTTCCTCTTTCTTGCAGCAAGAGTAGAAAAATTGGCACTGCAAGCAGAGCCTGTTTAGGCAAGGAATAGTTTTGTCATGGGCTCTTAACCCCAAGCTTCCAGTCTGTGCCTTTACATTGATGCTTCTTTAACTGGGCTCATGCTCCTGCAGGCTTGTGCAGGCCCCTGGAATTCCCTTTCCTACCCCCTCCACTGGAGCTGCTGTGTCTCTTGCAGGAGAGCTGGCCTTATGGTCTCCTTCAGGCTGGCTATGGATGTCTGGAACTGTGAATTCATGGCTCTTGGAATCATAGAATCATGGAATGGTTTGAGTTGGAAGAGACCTTAAAGTTCATCCAGTTCCAGTCCC